CATTTTGATTTTAGGTTGACTTTTAAGCCAAATGGCTTGTCTGGCAAAAGTAATGGTAGTGAGTAGTGAAACAAACACATGGGCAGTTGAGTAAACATCCTGCTTGTTTGGTCGATGCAATAGGTGTTACATTTCCATCGGTGGTGCTATTGAGAATGGAGATAAATTCAGTAACAAAGCAACACCTGCCCTACTCACATGCAGGTTGTAGTGAGTGTGACTGACAGCAGCTCCTGGAGTTTATAGTAGAGGTGACTGGGGGAGAGGGCCTCAGGGGGCCAGTTCCACAACCCTCATTTGAAACCTTTGGTCCCCCATGGTCTGTTTTCCCAGAATGCCCTTTAGAAGCTCTAACCTCTCGGGCTCCGAGTGTGTTTACTTTGAGTTAATGAATGAGCTAGTGTTGGAGTGAAAGTGGGTGAATAAATGCTAATCACATCCCTTTCCCCCAAAATAAAGCCTCCATTTCGCCCCTTTCCTGTTTGCTTTTATTCCCCTTTAGTTAAATCACCAGTAATCATGCTTTTAAAAGCTAGTCAGAGACAAACCACAGGTCAGGAATGAAATGCTCAACTAGCACTGCCAGAAAAACACGAGAGGGGGAGGTTTAGTGTGTGAGGAGCGTGAAGCCAAAGTTGAGGTGTCATATGTAATGTCAAACTCTCAGTTCTCCAACAATGCCAATTGAGTAAACACACACAAATGGTACGTACAAGTGAGGGAATCGGGAGAGAGAGAGAGAGAGAAAGGAGGGGCCGTCCTTACTTGCTCTTCTAAGCGGGAGTGAGAGGAGGTCCAGAGGGAGGAGGCAAACGGGGAGAGCAGGATCGAGAAAGAGAGTGAGGGAAAAGAAGTGGCGCTCTGTTTGCGGAGCAGTCTGGGACCATGCTGTCAGGCAGCTCTCTGATCTGGATTGGGGCGCTGCTTCTGGGGCTCGAGGCTTCGCTGACCAGGGCGTCTGACTTCCAGCACCATGGTTATGAGGAGATGGTGAGGGCTCTTTTTGCCATCCAAAGCGAATGCCCCTACATCACTCGCATCTACAGCATCGGTCGCAGCGTAGAGGGACGGCACCTATATGTCCTGGAGTTCAGTGATAATCCTGGCATCCATGAAGCATGTGAGTCTTTTCTTTACTCTTGTACCAAGGCGTTAAATTCCTCACCCATATAGCTCAAGCAAACTCTAGCATGTTCCTATTGAAGCTGTAGGGCTGCCAGAACTGATTGGTGAAGTAATAATTTGGGTTTGATTGCATAATTTGGGCTGTTTTCTGAGAATAGCACTTAACAGAATTGTTGATATAAAGCTTTGGCCGGTTATTCACTGGGTTGTCTGGCCAGCCAATGTTGACCGTCAACTTGATTTATCTTGTTACTCCAAAAAACACTCACATACGGTAAACTGCATCCAGGAATGGACAGTAATGGGTTAAAGGGGGGAGTACGTGCCTGGAGATGTGGTGAGTGTTATATGTAACTGTTGCAGGCAGGAGCAAACATCAGTCTTATCATTGATCTAAAACAAGAACATTCCCACAGGATAGACCCTTTGACTCTTTAATAGCTCAATTGTTTCTTCTAGAAACAATTCTAGACACTTCTGCTTCTCAGATGATTCTATTGAGAACGAGACCTCATTAATCTTGCATGTGTCTCATCTAGAGTTCCAGAGGAGAACAATCTCTCAAACTGTTCTCAGATTGACCAAAGTTTGGAATCAAAAGTCTTTACATAAGCTTAAACATTTCTCATCAAACTCTCAAAGAAACCAAGTTATCTAGGCTATGTTATTCATATTCATTTTGTATGTCGACAGTTGTCTTTATTTTCACAAATTTTTAGAAGACTCGTCTGATACTTCAATAAAAGATATCTCATAACTCCAATATATCTTACGAGATATGAAAAAGCAACTGCTGCAGTAAAATTTTCCTTTTTGTTCTTGCCTGTAGACTTTGTTCCTTTGTTCACTCAAATTCAAAACACATTCCGTTCTCAGCTACTGGAAGTAGTTAAGATCCATCAACAAAAGGAGTTAATAAATCAGCTTACGAAAGCAAATGAATCTTTGCCATCAGATGTAAAGATCTGCCTCTCTTGGCAATATGAGTACAAAGGTAAAACCCTTGAGAGAATTGCAGGATGTATACATGTTCCTCACGGAGTACAAAAACAGGAACCGGTACAGCAGAGTGGACAAAGTCGTTGTGACCTGACCCTTTAGATCCCGAAAAATGTTTGCGCTTCATGCGTTAATGTCGAGGTCACTCGTTTACTGACTCTTTGAGCAGAGGCACAGCACTGTTAATTTAATTATTTGATGATTAATGGGAAGACCGTTATGAGTCTGCCTGCACACAGTGACTAATTAGTTTTGCGATCTCGCCGTCACTCACTTCCGCATCAAAAAAGAGCAAACGGAAATCTGCTGGTACTTGTTAGAAGAGATCATTGTGAATAATGAACTGACAACTGGCTGTGAGACAGGAATTTCGATGAAAGTGGCCTGCTGCGCTGTTAAACACTCAGAAAGCTTTTGTTGGAGGAAAATTATGAATTTGAATTCATTCATATTTGATACTAGCATTTATGGTGTCATCTTACTCAAACGCTTGCACATTGTAGAATGATTCTGTCAATATTCTGTCATAATTTACTCACTCTCATGTCGTTCCATAATTTTCTGTAAATAAATAAGGTCTGTTCCTCATATAAAAGTCATATATGTCTTAAAAAGGCAAAAGAATATAATGTTTAAGTTGTATGAACTATTTGTATGGTGCTCTCTGGAGACCATATCTCCATTTGCTTTCATTGTATTAAAAAAAGTACTTTTCTTGTTTTGCGTTCCACAAAAGGAAGTCATGCAGGTTTGGAACAAAACTGAAAAATTATGACATAATCTCTTTAAATTTTTAGTAGGCAACCCTTTAGAGCTTAATATGCATATTGGCTCTCAATTTATGCGGTTGTTGCTTCTGAACTGCTTCATATGCATGCATAGAACTTGTTTGCTTGCATGCTATTCACAGATGTGACCCTATGACCTCATGACTTCCTGACTGGTGGTCACCTGACCTGTGTTTTTCAGTGGAGCCCGAGTTCAAGTACATAGGGAACATGCATGGGAACGAGGTGCTTGGTAGGGAGCTGCTCATCTACTTAGCCCAGTTCCTGTGTGAGGAATACCAGGCAGGAAACGAGCGAATCACGCACCTCATCCATGACACACGGATCCACATCCTTCCTTCGATGAACCCGGATGGATATGAGGTTGCAGCCAGGCAGGTATACAGCCTTTAGTAGCTAATCTACATTGTAAAACAAGTGTACTAAAACGGCACATTTCTAAATGCATGACCAACAGCTCATGGTGTGAACGTGACCATGCATATGTATACACTTATTTATTCAGTATGGCAGCTGTGGCGTGGGAGTGTTGTAAGTCTCTGGTGGCACCCAGTTTGTTATGAAGGAATCAGCCATATCCCAGTGCATTGCTGACTTTCTTCTGAGACTAATTACACCAGAAGAACTCACAAAAATAACATCCAAATATAAAACAATGCACACAAAAATACACACAAAGCTTTTTTTCTTGAACAAAGCATCCATACACCTACTGTACAACGTTCACACATCTAGAATGCAAAATTACAGTAATACAGACTCCTTCTTGATCTTAGAGACTAATTATATGTCCAGCAGTAAATGGTGGTGAATGTTGAATGTAGCCACACACACCCAGTTATCAAGCGTCTCACTGGAGCAGACATGAACTAGCAGAGAAAAACCACCTCAGCATCAGACAGGATTTTTTTAACATCGTCTAGCTCGCTTACGCAATACACTCAAGCACAATAAACCACTTGAGGTATAAGTTTCACACCTGACATATTGAGAATGTTAAAAGGTGATATTTCTCCCCAAAGGTTACTTAAAGGATAGGAAATGATTTGCTCTTTTCTCTGATTTACAGGGTCCAGAGCTCAACGGCTACTTAGTGGGACGTGGAAACGCAAAGGAGGTGGACCTGAACCGCAACTTCCCAGACCTGAATGCTCTTATGTATTACTACGAGAAGCACAATGGCCAAAACCACCACCTGCCACTGCCTGACAACTGGGAACTACAGGTGGGCATCAATCAGTGTCACATACACTGCTACTGCTGTCTGCTCAGAATGAGATGAGTGGGAGAGACCAGTCAAGCAATTAGTCATGGAGCTTGTGTAGCGATTTGAATGTGCGGAAAGATGTTCAGACAATATAAGATACACTTTGCAAGAGTTACGATAACACAGAATGTTTGTATACATTAAAGGTCATATGCTAACCATTTATGTACACTACTGGCCAAAAGTTTGGGGTCAGTATGTTTTTTGTTTTTTAATTAAGTAGAAAATTAATATTTTTAAAAAATCTTTTAAAAAAGAAATTAATACTTTTATTCAGCAAGAATTGACAAAAAAATACAGATAATATCACTTATCAGATAAGGTTTCTATGTCAAATAAATGTTTTTTTTTTTAATGCTGTTCTATTAATAAAGCTTTTTTTCTTGAACAAAGCATCCATACACCTACTGTACAACGTTCACACATCTAGAATGCAAAATTACAGTAATACAGACTCCTTCTTGATCTTAGAGACTAATTATATGTCCAGCAGTAAATGGTGGTGAATGTTGAATGTAGCCACACACACCCAGTTATCAAGCGTCTCACTGGAGCAGACATGAACTAGCAGAGAAAAACCACCTCAGCATCAGACAGGATTTTTTTAACATCGTCTAGCTCGCTTACGCAATACACTCAAGCACAATAAACCACTTGAGGTATAAGTTTCACACCTGACATATTGAGAATGTTAAAAGGTGATATTTCTCCCCAAAGGTTACTTAAAGGATAGGAAATGATTTGCTCTTTTCTCTGATTTACAGGGTCCAGAGCTCAACGGCTACTTAGTGGGACGTGGAAACGCAAAGGAGGTGGACCTGAACCGCAACTTCCCAGACCTGAATGCTCTTATGTATTACTACGAGAAGCACAATGGCCAAAACCACCACCTGCCACTGCCTGACAACTGGGAACTACAGGTGGGCATCAATCAGTGTCACATACACTGCTACTGCTGTCTGCTCAGAATGAGATGAGTGGGAGAGACCAGTCAAGCAATTAGTCATGGAGCTTGTGTAGCGATTTGAATGTGCGGAAAGATGTTCAGACAATATAAGATACACTTTGCAAGAGTTACGATAACACAGAATGTTTGTATACATTAAAGGTCATATGCTAACGATTTAATGTACACTACTGGTCAAAAGTTTGGGGTCAGTGTGATTTTTTTTTTTTATTAAATAGATACTAAATAATACTTTTTAAAACTTTTTAAATATAGAAATTAATACTTTTATTCAGCAAGGATGTGTTAAATTGATGAAAAATGACAATGTTACAAAAGTTTTCTATTTCAAATAAATGCTGTTCTTTTGAATGCTGTTCTATTGATCAAATAATCCTGAAAAAAAGAGACAAAAATAGCAGCACAACTGTTTTCAACGTAATACTAAAACCAAATGCATTATTTTTAGTGAGTAAAGAAACCTTCAGCACAACCAGTGTAGTCTGATTCCTGAGTCGCATGACTTTTATAAGCCAGTTTTTTTTAGGGAATCAAAAACACAAAGCACGGCCAGTTTAGTCTGATTCCTGAGTCGCATGACTTCTATAAGCCAGTTTTTTTTAGGGAATCAAAAACACAAAGCACGGACAGTTTAGTCTGATTCCAAAAATGAATGAAAGGTTCTTTTGAAACAATTGCATTTTTAATAAATATGAATTCTGTCTATTTCTATACTGTTCATTCAAAATATAGGCAAAAAAGAATCATTATTGGAGCAAAAATCTTTAAGAGGAAGCGGAATTGGTATTGTTTAATTATTTCCTTGGGAAATCAAACATATTATCAGATTGATTTTGGAAAAAAATCTGTGGAATGACACTAAGAAAAAAGTACACAAATTTCAAATTGTCCAAAATATTTGCTAATTAAATAAACATGTAATGAGTAATGTGTAGAACTTTGTGAAAGACTGGGAATGAATCCCAGATTCAATTATCTGTGGGTCGTTCTGCCATGACATTGGTTTTGCTGCTTTCATAATAGCAACATTCTGTATATGTTTTCATGGGGTGACTTTTTTATTGCCCTAACAATGTACATACACACATAAAAATCACTGTTCCAATCTGAAGTAAAATACAGGATAAAGCCAGTATCCTGCATTGCAAAGAACAGCAAAATTAAGCTCTCCGTTAGTCTGTCAGTAACCCACCCAGCTCTCGTTCTGCTATCTATCAACCGCCAACAGGCCCACCTTTCACAAAATAGAGAGCCTTGGTCTGTCTAAAGGACTTTTTTAGCCTGTACTGCTGTTAGTCTTCATGAGCTCTGGATATTTTGGTTAGCCTTTCACAACTTGCTGAGTAATATAAAGTCAATCTCATCTGCGAGTATCCATGCTATCCATCATGACTTAAGAATGTTACAAAGAAAATCTTGTGGTTCAGTGTAAGCAGAAGCATTTGACCTTTAGCACAAATTAGTTCACAAATATGCCTATTTGAAATATAGTACAGAATTTGATTTTATGTAATAATTGCCAGACTTTTGGAGCCCATCAGAATAATACAAACCATTTATACAGCTCTTTCCAGGAACAACTCTTTATTTTCCTCAGTCTAGAATGAGAACTCCAGCTTTGGAGAAGTAAGTATGTTCACTGGCAGCCAGACATCCCTCAGGACAACAACAGAAGAACTGCAGTTGGAGGAGTATGACACATTCCAATCATTTCTCTGTGAGTCAAGAGCTGTCACTCTCACATCAAACCCCACTCGTGACCCTCTGACCCCAGCGTGGGCTTCGCACTACACAGAGCTAAGCAGGGAGAAAAACATCTGTGTGAGTTCACAGCACGAAACCCGACTCGTCAATGACAGCTGAGGCCAAAGGGACCCTTGGATGTTTATATATACAGATCCATGCATAATAAATACAACGTCTCCTCAAAACAGAGCAAGAACGGGATCAATACCCAGCAGCCATCTCTAAAGAGCTGGCCAGACTGATCTTAGTTAATACAACAGGTCCAGGTGGAGGTTTATTATCCCTTCAACTCTTGTGGGATACATTACCACATGTCAGATTTCTCAGATAACAGCTTTGAAGGAATATTCCAGAACGCTGTGTCATGGCAAAAAAAAATGTAAAACAAAGCCTGAAATAATGCACACAGCATGCATGTTTTATAATCGGTTTTTCTCTGTATTCTTGGTTCTTGCAGGTTGAGCCGGAGACTTTAGCAGTGATAAAATGGATGCAAAATTACAACTTTGTTCTGTCGGCTAACCTCCACGGTGGCGCTGTAGTCGCTAACTACCCCTTTGATAAGTCTCGCGAACCCCGGATAAGAGGCAAAACATCTAACTCGGCTACCCCCGATGATAAAATATTCAAAAAGGTATGTTGTTTTTTTATTTAAACATTAAGTGTATAATTTTCTACTTTCTAAAAAGTTTAATGTCCAGAAACAGTTGGCAAAAGTAGGGCATTTATACGTTTTTTTTCCTGAAAAAGTGTAATCACTGTGATTCTGTGGCCCTATCAAACCATTACAGAGGCAACACAGACTCAAGACAGACAGAATCAATGGTGTGTTTTGGGGGGCAGGGTTATCTGTTAGCTTGACCAATGGCAAATGGAGGGAGTGTTTGTGAAACCTGTTTGAAATCAGTCATTATTTTTGCAACTCCATTTCATGATGCTAGTTTAGGATGTCTTATCAGCTGAAAAGTGCCCAAAATCCCAGAAATACCAGCCAAATTAGATCAATTTAGACAAACAGCCCAGCTTAGACTGATTTAAGATGGGTTTTTTTCCCAGCAGAGTAATTGCACAGAAATCATACACTTTAACTAATAAAGAGTTGGCTGTTGTTTTTTTCCCCAATTTTCTGGTGAATATTTACAGATTTTTGTGTTTATGCACTATGTGTGTATAGTTGGCAAAGACGTACTCCTACGGCCACAGCTGGATGCATAAGGGCTGGAACTGCGGCGATTACTTTGATGAAGGAATCACAAATGGAGCCAGCTGGTACTCTCTGTCTAAGGGTGGGTTATATTTTACATACCACAGTTCTCGTTCAATTACTTCAACAAGGCTTGTGGTTTTGTCTCATCTAGAAGCCTTGTAATTTAGCTGAGATTTGGGAATTACAAGCACTTTTATTTTAAAAGAAACAAGATTGTTTTCTAGTTTAGAGCTATATGCCAGTCAAGAAATAATTTCTTCTTGGGCAAATATTCAAATTGATTTTAAAATTAATTTATAGGGGGTAGTTTTTTTTTTTTACATTCATTAGGTCATATTACAAAACTTAAATGAATATTAAAGGAAACAAAACTTTTGCATTAGAAAAAAATACAGCAGATAATGGTAAAGCATGAGCATGTGAACAGTATTCTTGTTCGTATTTTGTGTACACATGGATGTTTTTGTGTATGAGTGATCGTTTTTCTTGAAAATATTAATTTAGGAGCGCAATACAAATATTACGAAATATTTGATTTAAAAAACAGTGAATACTTAAGATATGTAGAGCATCTTTCTCATATTTTGTGGCATTTTTGACTCCAACACTGGTTAATTTCTGACCCTGGCCAACACTGAAGAATGTAATATATATTTAATGTGTGATTTAAAGGGTCAGTTCACCCAAAAATGAAAATTAGGCTGCGTTTTACTCACCCCCGAGGCATCCTAGGTGTATATGACTTTCTTCTTTCAGACGAATCCAGTCAGAGTTATATTAAAAATTGTCTTTGATCTTTCAAGCTCTATCATTGCAGTCAGCGGGTGTTGCATTGCTTCAGTCCAAAAGAAGTTAAATAAAAAGCGCCCATCCATAAAAAAAAGAGTCTCACACTAAGGTTGTGACGGTGAGGAAATTTTCCCACCGGTTAATCGACGCGTGACAACACTGGTAATACCGGTATCACCGTGGGGGCGGAGGCGTTCCCTCTTTTCCTCGCTTTCCTTCGCTTTTAAATAGCTT